TTGTGTAAGAATAAAATGTTTTGCGGAGCCGCGGCTGGGAAACACCCAGTTCCTTCTCCAGCCCTGGCTGCGGTGCGCGGTTGGTTGGTTCTCATTCGCAAACGCATGGAAATATCGAGTTTGCCGCTCCGATGTATTTTACGCCCCTTTTTCCAAGTCCTCCCGTGGCGACGGTACCCCACTGCCTAGCTGCCCTAGAACACGGGGCCCAATTCTCGGCTATTCCCCTCGGGGGTCAGCAAGGCGCTGGAGGGAGCGCACGAAATGGCCACAGCCAACGAGCTCCGAAATGTTCGTTGCTATTTAACTACCAAGCGAAAAACACAAAACAAAACAAACCGCCGGCGCAGCTGCCAAAAGAGGCTCAAACACGCGCCCCGGGAGTTATTTAGCTCAGGGATCGTTAATTTCAAGGGACGGCGACGACTCCAGACTTCGCCCGAGAAAAGACCGCAGGATCGGGGCCAAAGCCCTCCCGCTGGGCTCTCGGAGAAGGAGCCGCGGTGACTCCGAATTAACGGGCGACACGAGCAAGGAAACAGCCGGGTCTCTAGGCGGCAGGGAAGGCCTCACGGTCTTGCTTTTATAAAGAAGCAGCAGCCGAAACATATGTCGGCCTTGCCGCCCTGGCCCGGCCTAATCCCTGGCCCTCTGCCTGGGAGCGCTAATCCCGGGCAATACGGAGTAAAAAACCGCAGGGCACCCGGGAGAAATGATCCAACCATTCCAGGGAGCGGGGCCTCCCCACGCGAAGGGGATCAGTGCGATTCCGCGCCCCCCTGCCCGGACGCAGCAGGGCCGGTCGGGCCTCCTCTGGGGCGCACGGAAAGGGGGTGATTTCGTTTGCTTCTCGGCGCTGGGATTTTGCGGAGCTGCGCTCCAGAGGCGCGCAGCCGTGGGGGGAGACGGGGGCACCCCGAGAAGTTTCAGCCCTCGCCCCGCTGGGCGGATCGATGGTCCTCAAAGGCCAGGGATGTATTTCAACCGAGGGCGCCGGAGTCACCTGCCAGGAGCCCATGCAGGGCAGCCGAAATGTTATTTATGGGCGCCCGGCGCTCCAGATAAATGACATTTTCATGCAGTTCTTCCTACCATTAATTCGCCCTAGGCTGGTTTGAATTTTTCAGCAAAAAAAAAAAAAAAAAA